TACATTTAAGATGGCGCCCAAAAGTACAATACCGATGTCAACCCACGAGTTGGCGCGCGAAGCCGACGTGTTTAGAAGAGCTAGTCAGAATAGAAAAATGGACGCCTCACACGTATTTTCGGCGGAACAATTGGCTCTCGCCGGTCACGCGCACCGATTAGGCGAAAAACAATGAGAGTCGGCAAACGTCTCTCGAGTGAGCGAGATAGCCATTGCCTTCAGCAGTTGTTGTCATTATTATTCTTATGCGCCGAAATGTAACTGGAAGTGTTCACGGTGAGGAGCTTCTTTTACTTTGGGTCACGCGGCATCTCGTGGGTTATCTGTATGTCGATTGTCGACATCTGAAGCTGTCTAAAATTTGAAGGTATCGTGTGGACAGTTACCGAGGGCACCTGTCTAAAGTCTCTTTCGAATGGAACATAAACTTACATGTGGACACTTATCAAGAGTATTAGTATTTCTATCTTTGTTTGATAGGTAGAGCCAACCTGGAAAATCCTAGAACAATTCGTTGTACATGACCTGCAGAATGTTTTTGGATTGGATGCCTTAGAATCTTCACACCCGATATCGATCAGAGTGCGTCATCCAGATGAGATCAGCGAAATTTTTGACAAAATTTCATATGGCAAAGGTATCATATGTTTTCACAAGGAGAAAGAGTTTTGACTGCTGTGCTAATACTGAATTGATGAGTAACGATGTTTGTTCTCAAACAGGTGCTTCTATAATAAGAATGATGGATCACTTCCTCACCACTGAAGTCTTCAAACAAGGCTTAACAAATTACCTAAAGGGAAAGTAAGTGGATCTTGAAATAATATTGGAAAATTCCAAAATTCCAAAAATTCTAAACTTCTTTAAAAAAAATTGATTAATCAACAACAGAGCGTACCAAAGTGCCGAGCAAAATGATCTATGGGACGCCTTAACCAAACAGGCGCACGAGGACCAAGTTCTCGACACCTCCATAACCATAAAAAAGATCATGGACACCTGGACTCTCCAGACCGGTTTCCCAGTTGTCACTGTCACCAGAAACTATGACAACGGTGCAATAACATTAACACAGGTTCGTTACTAGCAAATCATTGCATTTACTTTTCGACTGATAAAATAAAATAATTCTCATAAATACCATCTCGTAATTAGGAACGTTTTCTACTTCGAAATGGCACCACAACTGTCGTATTCGACACTGAACCTCTATGGTGGATTCCCATAACCTACACAACCGAACGTCTGCTAGATTTCAACACCACTCGACCCTCTCAGTGGATGAAGGCTGAAAAATCGATCACTATATCCGACGGCAACTTGAGTCCTTCAGAATGGGTCATTTTTAACATCCAAGAAACTGGTAAGGATAACAGAGTCTGTAGAGGGACATTTCTCGTCACTCTGTAATTATAATTCTGTAATTATAAATTGTGCAATTAGTAAGTAGTTACTATGTCTTGAGACTATTAAATTTACAGTCATATTTTTATAAATTCATAATTTTTGCAAAAATCAACAAAAGTATCTAACGCTCAGCTGACGCCAGACCGCCATTTGCAATCGCGGTTTGCATTCAAAATGGCCGCCCATTAGTACAATGCGCGCCAACTCATTTACGTCAGTACCTGAGTCACTGTATTTTAAAAAAAACTGATCTCGGAATAAAAATCTTGCACGTCACCTAATCTTCAACTTAAATATCAATTAAGCCTGAACTTTTCACAGTTTGCACATTGTTAAGGACGATTGTTCTTCTTAGCATATTTACGTAGTCGCGAAGTGTTCTTGAAACTGGATCTGTGTTAACAGGATACTACAGAGTGAACTACGACAGAGCAAACTGGCAAATGATAATCAAACAGTTGAACAAAGAGTCCTTCAGGAACATCTCGACGATCAATCGGGCTCAGCTGATCGATGACGCGTTGAACTTAGCCAGGGCTGGGAAATTGGATTACGCTACTGCGTTGGATGTCACCTCGTATTTGGCGCACGAGACGGAGTACCTCCCTTGGAAGGCTGCACTCACTGCCATGCACTATTTGGATGATATGCTGATCAAGATGTCGAGCTATGATAAATTTCGGGTGAGGATTTGGGGGTTCGAGGATTTGAGGAGTTAAGGAGTTAGGAATTTAGAGAGTTGGGAATTTAGAGAGTTGGGGATTTAGAGAGTTGGAGAATTAGGGAGTTGGGGATTTAGAGAGTTGGGAATTTAGAGAGTTGGGGATTTAGGGAGTTGGGGATTTAGGGAGATAGGGAATTAGAGAGTTGGGGATTTAGGGAGTTGGGGATTTAGGGAAATGGGAAATTAGAGAGTTGGGGAATTAGGGAGATGGGGATTTAGAGAGTTGGGGATTTAGAGAGTTGGGAATTTAGAGAGTTGGGGAATTAGGGAGTTGGGGATTTAGAGAGTTGGGAATTTGGAGAGATTGGAAT